TTGGCTCTTACAGGCTGAACACTTCTCTTTGGAAACACTTTTCCATCTACAAGGGGGTTCATGAGAACAGGACAAAGGGATTTCAACATGACATGCTGGGCACGCAAGGCTGGCTCCACAGGACTGCCTGGACCATTTTCCCTTCCTGGGCATCTAGTGATGATGATTGGGAATGATGCAGCCTAGTGTGCGGCAAATAGAGTCAACCACGTCCCCTTTCCTTTGTTTGTGAGGCATGTTGGTGCCACACATCATGACGGTGGGTATCGGGTAGCTGCCACTGATATCGGTATAGACATGAACTCTTTGCTGATTGGTGTTCACTTTCCTGCAATGAGTTTTCATCCATGGCTTCCTGGGCAGCTTTGTTGTTCCCTGGTTCTGAATCATCTTGATCCAGGCTTTGTGGTACTCGTTGTCCGTGTGAGACAAGCCATTGCTAGAAGGTAGATTGCCGTTGACTTGTTCTTTTCCCTTGCTGTTCCTTCTTCTTCTCGTATTTTCTTCTGAGGACTTGAAAGTGTCATTGGAGGTTATAGCAGATCTGATTCTTTTTCCATGCATCAACACGGTTGCAGATGATGCGTTGTGAGACCCAACAGTCTCCACTTCATCTTGATTAGCATCCAGCTTGTCTGAGCAACCAATATTGGAAATAACTCTCCACTCACAAGAGGGTTCATGAGAGCATGAGCATGGGATTTCAACATGGCAACTACAGCACATGACTCTGTCACCACATCACTCCCTGGAACATTTCTCGCTCCTGAGGACCCAGCGGTGATGATCAGGAACGATGCAGTCTGGAGTTCGGCAAATTGAGTCAACTGCGTCAACCTTATTTTGTTTGTGAGGCATGTTTGTGCCTCGCATCATGACAGTGGGTACAGGTTTGCTACCTCCAAGGGCCCATATAGCTACTTGATTGCTGTTCAATTTCATGCAATGAGTGTTCATCCATGGCTTTTTGGACATTGTTCTAGTTCCATGTTGTTGGATTAGCCTAACGCAGGCTTTCTGGAAGTCCTGGTCCACATGAGAGGTTTTTGGAGACTGTTCTTCTTCGAGTTCCTCCTCACTGTCGCCATTGGAATTGGATTCGTTATCCCAATCTGCCTCCTCCTCCAATGCCTTTCTTATTCTCTTGACACCTCTCTTTGATGCCATGATCACCTTCTGTTGTGCTTTCCGTACTCTGAGTCTGGTGGAACAGCGAGAACCCACTACTAAGCGCTGTCAGCCAGGGGCCAGGGGCCAGTCTCCTCTCTTAATTATTAAATGCTTGGCCTTCTGCTGGCTTTCGTCTTCTACTAGCGAAAAATTCAATTATGATAAAACTTTGCGAAGAGTTCGATATTCGATGATGGGATGATGCCTTTGTTGGTGCTGATGTTTCATGTTTGTGGATCATATACCGGGCAGACCCCGGTGATCTCTGACCCCGTTTATTGTGGTGGTGGTGGGTTTGGTTGGTTGGTTATCCTTAGGGTTAGAGATTTACTTCAACCCCCTCGTTCTCACGCGTTCTCATAATAATCATACGGTAGCAACGGATCCTAATATTTTCCTCATGATGCCCACCTCTAAACTCCCGTAAGCTACCACGCCACTTTCTCAGATGGAAAATCTAATGACTCACGTTGCACACCTCTAAACTCCCGTAAGCTACCCCGCCACTTTCTCAGATGGAAAAATCTAATGACTGGCCTTGCACACTCTAAACTCTCTGTAAGCTACATGCCTCTTTCTCAGATGGAAAAATCTACGTCTCACGTTGCACACTCTAAACTCCCGTAAGCTACCACACCACTTTCTCAGACGGAAAAATCTTACGTCTCACGTTGCACACCTCTAAACTCCGTAAGCTACCACGCCATTTTCTCAGATGGAAAAATCTAACGTCTCATGTTGCACACCTCTAACTCCCGTAAGCTACCACGCCACTTTCTCAGACGGAAAATCTAATGACACTACCTTCAGCCAAACTTTAACAATATTATTATGCCGGCCCATCTTTTAATTCAGCTCGCCCGGTATATCTATTACACCTCCGGTGTCCTTTTTTTGATCTTTTGGTGGCTGGTGATTGCTCCAGCGGGAGCGTCCGGGCAGCTTTGAAGGCTAATACGGTTGCGGAAGATCCGCCCAACGCCATCCAGACCCGAACTACTACTAGTAGTAGCTACCAGGTAGTAGAAGATACGGACCGTTGGCTCGTCCCTGTCACCAGAGATGAGGTGCCGCGGTGCCGCAGTCAACAAACTTACTTGAACGAAGATGCGAGATCTGATGATGAAGCCCGAGAACAGGTTGCAAGAAAGGATTGAATTCAAGTTTGCAACAAGTTGTGCGTGGTTCAGTTTGGTTAATCGTCTGGTTTCCACTGGCTTGCATTGATGACCAAACTTCGATGCCCAGACAAGTGTCAACGTGTCAACCGGCAACGTGCAGCCAAATGCGCACACCCGAAGCACCGAGAGGATAGGAGAACGCTTTAATTGACCGCAAACTGAAGCAAGGATGGAAGAGAGAGTTCTGACAGAAGCGTTTCAGATTGTCACACCACTGTTCACAACACATCAGCGTACACTGGTACCGGTAGTGAATATGGACGTTGTAGAAAAGGTGCATTGTTGGACTGAAAACAGCCCCATGGTCGCGAACCAGTTGGCACATCGAAGTGATCCAATTTGGCAGGCCTATCTATTTGTTCGCAGCTAAGCAATGCAATATATGGAAGAGTCTTCTAACTAGCTAGCCAGTTTTGAAGAGAAATGATATGGTTTTGTAGATGCACTTCTTCCTTGTGCAATCATCACATCACACATCTACTCTTGGCTCTTACAGGCAGAACAATTCACTTTGGAAACAATCCTCCATTCACAAGGGGGGTCATGAGAACAGGGCAAAGGGATTTTGACATGACATGTTGGGCACATTAGGCTGGCCCCACAGGACTGCCTGGTCCATTTTTCCTCCCTGGGCATCCAGCGATGATGATTGGGGATGATACAGTCGGGTGTGCGGCAAACTGAATCTACTGTATCCTGTCTGTCTTGTTTGGGTGGTACTTTGGTGCCGCTCATCATAACAATAGAAACAGGTTTGCCACATCCAAGGGCGCCTATATGCGTCTGGTTGCTATTCAATTTCATGCAGTGGGTGGCCATCCAAGGCTTTTTGCCAAGCTTCATTGTTCCCTGTTCCCGCACAGCCCTAACCCAGGCATCGCAGTATTCCTGGTCTCGCAGAATGGACGTAGGGTGAAATCCAGCAGCTTCCTTGTCAAAAGCTTCGAACTCGCCATATGACTTGCTCCTTCTTTTGGCTTGTTCCGATGATGCGACGGGAGCATTGGCTGCTGCTGCATATCTCTTTTTTTTCTCAGCCGTCGCGAAGAGTGATGATGATGGGATGGTAGATGTAACAGCCACTTGCTTAGCTTCTACTTGGATTCCACCCTGCAATCCGTGCAGCCACTATTGGAAACAACTCCCCATTGACAGGGAGGATCATGAGTGCAGGGGAATTGGATTTCTAGGTGGCATGTCAAGCTTCGACCACAGCACTCCCTGGAATATTTCTGCTCCTGAAAAACCCAGCGATGATGGTTGGGAATAATACAGTCTTGGGTGCGGCAAATAGAATCCACCATTTGCCTCTGGTTTTCTTTGGAAGGCACATTGGAGCCACACATCATGACAGTGGGCAGAATGTAGGGACCACGCCCATCTATGTTGACTGTTGTCTGCGTACTGTTCAATTTCATACATGAAGTCCCCATCCATGGTTTCTTCGGGAGATCTGTGGTTCCGTGACGCTGGATTACCCCAACCCATGCTTTGTGGAAATCTTTGTCTAAATGAGGCAGCACATTAATTGCCCGTTTTGCGTTTTCGCTCTGGCCCTTCTTTCTTCTTTTGACATCCCTCTTCGATGACATGATCAATTTTCATGTCAAGTACAGCCAGTTTGATCCAGAACAAATATTGAGAAAGAGCCAGTCCCTGCAAGGTTGCCGTGCTGCTTTGACGGCATGGCTTTGGGTTGGTGATGTTGTTCCGTTGTGGATCTTTTATCTTTTAGAGGCTGTGGGTAGATTGAGGTGAGCGTCCACGCAGCTTTGAAGGCTAATTTCGCAAAGATCCAAGTTTCACAGTCAAACTTGAACAACGATGGGAGATCTGATCAGGAAGCCCAGCCCAGAGTGCAAGAAAGGATGCAATTCCAAGTTGTGCATGGTTTAGTTTGATTATTTCGGTTGGATTCAACTGGCTTGCATTGGGCACCTAACTTCACTGCCCACGACAATGACGACAAGTTTCAACTGGAAACGTGAAGCCAATGCGCGACCCGAAGCCGAATCCGCGATCTTCATTTTAAAGAAAGAACCCATCAGTCCTCGTAAATTCTTGGCCTACCGGTACATATCAGGTAGAAGAAACGTCCTAACAGTAATAGTTTAGTGTCTTTGTTAGTGATGGATTCACTTGACTGTTGCACATGTGATGGCGCCTTTGTGGTGGAACTGATTGCTTCCCTGGACGTGCTGTCGGATATTCTGGTGATCATTCAGGTCGCTGGAGAGTATCCGGGGGCAGAAAACTACGGCACTCTGTTCTTTACTGGTATTGGATTTTGGGCCATCCATGGCTACATTCGTCTTATCCATGAGGGCATGGTTATTTACAAGAAACCGACAGGGGGCAAATCCCACTTGTCTCGCCTCGCCTACGGCAGTCTCGGCCTAGTTTGGGCCCTTGTTGGAAGCTTTGTTCTTCTTGAAAAGCTGCTTCGCCTCGTTTTACTGCCACTGGATCCTCTTCTGGGATTAGGCTATTATTCAGCCACTGGTCAATGGAAGATGCTGGTTGCGGAAGAATTCTGGTTTTCTACAAAGCGGGAGAGAAGGTTCATCAACGAATCGAACGGAAATCTAATCAGGTTCTACATCGAATTGTGCACGTCCATCCTAGCTGGTGGTCGTTTGGAAGATTTCCATGATTGAGTGGGAGAAGGACAACAACATGATTGAATACGATCTCAGCGCGACTGCTTCTGTCAATCTAGCAATTGTAGAGGAAGTCTTCGAAAACTTTGGAGGCTTGCTGCTGGCAATCTCTTCGTTTTGGGCATTTGGCGGATCGATTCTGGCGCTTGTTTCCATTGTCTTTACTGCATTGTCAGCTATCATGGAAACCGGCAGATACATTGGAGTCAGGGCTCGAATGAGATTGTGCAGAGAGCAGCAAACGGCCAGCACAACGTCGTCAGGAATGAAAGCTATTCATGATGCATCCGATACGAAGGCAGCTGAGGGTCTGGTCCGTCGGAATCTAACGCTGCTGTTGAGGTTTCGCAGGACTATTTTGAGGCCTGAAGGTTGCAAAGATGTACTCTGCATGTGCGAATGGCAGAGAAAGCGTACTTCATCTAGTTACAATGACATACCGGTACACTTGCACTTGCAACAAACTCCAGAAACAGAATACATGCACTTACAATTATTTCTGTATCTCAACCAAAGGCGAATAAATGGTCTCGGTTGAACAAAGCCCTTCGGGAGAAATCTACAGCTAAGAACAGGTACCTGGTAGCATGCCGCCCAGCAAGTGGTTTCGCGGCAAAAGGCCAGCAATGCCAATTGAGAAACGCTTTCAAAAGTTGAAGCTCCACCGATACTATTATTGCCGCAAATGCCAGCTAGCAAACGCTATCGATCCTGCCTCGGCTAATGCATGACTGTCATCAGATTCGTGACCTCGCGAATGGGCTCGGTCACACATACAGAGCCAGGCAGTCCCGTTTTCCATTTCTTGTTTGTTGCAGCTTTTTGTGGTTCGTTGGTCAGACTTGTCGGTGCAGATGCACTCATTCACCGGGTTTGATGCCCATTGGCAACATTGGAATGACGTGCATGGTTGAGATCACCAAGATTTCAAAACGGGTTTGATCTGCCCGTACTGGCATCACTGTACCGTAGGTGAGAAGTGGTGTCCACCCCTTCCATCATCGGAAAAAGCGGAAGATGGTCGCGTCGAATGCAATACAGCCCATGCATTGGTGAGACTTGTGGAGACAGTGATGCTGACATATGTGCTGAGAGGACTAATTCTAGCTTAGCACAAGAACAATGTCTCAAAATGAGCTAACCCAAGGTGACGGAAGGCGTACTGACCTTGCCACAAACGATGCTTTCATTTAAATTTCCATCAAGTGTGTTGGTGTTGGTCCACTGTCGGGGGGAGAAGATGGACTACAATGATTGGGCAGAGTTCGTGGAGCAGCCGGTACACCCCTGTCTCGCTGCAGGGAAACGTGCACCCTCGTCCTACCCTTGGATGAAGCTGGCTGACCAGATAAGTAGCCCAAACATAAGGTTGCTTGCAATTCGCAGATAGCTAACTGCGACCCAATTATCCGGGGCGTTTGCCCATTCATATGGAGTACTGGAATTGCTACCAGTAAATTTGGTGGTGCTTGGCTGGCTGACAATGCAATCCTACGGAAACTTGGTGCAATGATCACATGACCGGAGGATGCTACCATTTGAGCCAGTGCTGCCTCAGCGGCAGCAGCAAGTATGACTATATGCTATCCAAAAACTACGCACAAAAGGGAGATTCTTAGTGTTGCTGTATTATGGCGGTCTAGTTGAGTGCCATCCAGAGGATACCGCTGGAAACTATTCACACGCCAATCACTTCATTGTAAGCGACAAAGGGAAATCGACGAGACACGACGATGGATGCAATGTCTTCCGGCAGGCAGTAGCCAACAATCAATTGGTGTTTGCTCCTAACTCAAGAAGGTTTCGGGTGGGGTCGAGTCCCCGTGTTCGCCTGTCCATCCGTGGTGGGCTCGTCATGATGTTCGACTGACTCCTGCCTTGGTTCCAAGTGGTTATACCGATACTCTTGCCTGTAGACAGACAACACATGGAAGTTGCACCGAGACGCATTGTACCTGGTAGTAGCTGTACTGACTGCGTCACTCTACCTTGGATCCATGTGGCTACACTCTTGAGTGTGGAGACATCACATGGAAGTTGCACGAAGATTGTAGTACATGTAACTGTCTGTATTATCTTTGAATCTATGCATAGAATTAATTAATATTCCAGGAGTATAAAGATCTCTAACTTGTACAATGAATGTGGATGTGTCCTGTAGTGGTGTTCTTGCTTTTCTGTCCATTGCCATGGCTGTAATGTTGTACGTTTGCTTGTTGATTGGATTGCCCTTGGTCGTCTCCCCTTGTGGGCCTGCTCTGTCTTGCCTGGTGCGACACGACGTTTTGTTTGGATTGCCGAAGGCCTGCTTGGTTTGGGGAGTTCTTGGCTTGGATTGTGGCGGTTGCAGCGGAGTAAGGTCTCCAGTGTAGTACCGACGAAAGGAAGGAAGGATTATGAGAGTGTGTTCGTGTGGATGTTGTTTAGTGTGGTTGGTGCCCCAATGATGCTGCGGCGTCCATCATTTGGTGACTGACTGACTGACTTGACTGGCTGTGTTTCCACTGACTTGACTTGTCGTTGTTGCTTGTTGTAGTTTGCGAATGCTATCGTGTGTATGTGTATATCATTACTAGAGCGGCTCGGGCGGTGTTTCGGCATCGGAAGAATCGCAGGTTTGCACCGTGGCATCGCCCTGTTTGCTGCTAGTTCCATAAGACGTGCTTTTGCAAGTTCCAAAGGCACCCGTTTGTGGATCGATATCATACTTGTGGGAAGAAAGTAGGGGTGCTTGTTCGCCAGTAATGGTTGTTGATGATGTCATGTTGTCCCTACTTCCGAGATGTTCAAATGCCACTTCAATTTGTGCCATGGAAAGTCCCTTGGTTTCTGGCAGATACACGTACATGGTGGCGGCTCCCACAAAGCACAGTGTCGCATACAGATAGAAGGATCCATAACTGGTCAGGACGGCGGGGCTGTTAATGGTCAGAAAGGTGGACGACACCAACAAATTGGAGAGCCAATTGGTCCCCGTCGAAAAGGAAACGGCGAGGGATCGGAACCGCACGGGATAAATTTCGGAATTGACGGTCCATGGCAATCCTGCCATGCCCATACCAAAGACAATCAGGTAGACGACCATGAATACCACCGACAGGTATCCGTAGGGATTTTCACAGACATTGTAGGACCAATCCGTATCGGCAGGACACGAGAATTGCGATTCACCCGCCATAAATAGGGGTCCATCGGGCGTGCCTCGAACACAGGCATTGCCACAGAATCCACATCCGGGAATGGAGGTACAATCCCAACAATTGCGAGTAATGCCATCCCAGACAAGTGCGGGTTGTGCCGCACACGCGGGATCAATATAGAGAGTGGATGGCGAGTAGATACGGGCGGCATAAAAGGAATATCCCAATCCCAGCGATGCCAATCCAATGCCACACAATGACGTGAGGACGAGGACACGCCGCCCCGCCGTTTCAATGAGTACCACCGCCAGTGCCAATCCAATGATTTGTGCAAATGCCGTAAAGGCGGACAACCAAATACTGGTGAGTTCATCAAATCCTGCCATTTCGTAGACACTGGCGGCATAGTAGAGTACACCATTGACGCCACAGATTTGTTGGAGAATCATGAGTCCACATCCCACCAAGAGGGCATTGCGAGTGGCCACGTCTCGAGTCATTTGTGTGAAACTAGTGAGAATGGAAGTCTTGTGATTGTGAGGAGTGTTGTCGTTGTTGTCGTCTTGTGTAGTAGTGGTAACATGACGAGCCGTTTGTCGTAACGACTGCAGTTCGAGTTCCACTTCTTGATCCGTGTCACGAACGGACTGTAGTATAGTGAATGCTTGTTGCTCCATACTACAACTTGTATTGTTGGTAGAAGTAGATGCCATCATGAGCCAACTGGGTGATTCGGGCAATCCTAGAAACCCGGTAAACATGACCATGCCGGGCACCATGGCCGTTCCAAACATGGCCCTCCACGCCCATCCATCGGGCAGTAGATGTGCATAGACACCATCCATGATTCCCGCTACAAACTGTCCCATGCACATCATGAGGGCATATGCCGACACAAGTTTGCCGCGCATACTAGGTTTGGCCACTTCGGCAATATAGAGGGGCGATGTGAGACTTTCCAATCCAATGCCAATGCCCAACAGAATTTCACCAATCAAGATACAAGTGTAATTCTGTGCCGTCCACAACAACAGTGCGCCTCCCGTGAAAATGGCGGCGGCCAGCAACAGCGTCCCCCGTCGTCCGTGGTACGTATTGAGGGTTCCTCCCACAATACTGGCGATGCAAGCACTCACAATCGTCGCACTGACAATGGCTTCTTCTTGTTCACTGCTCAAATCAAAGACTCGTTTGAGTGGCAATAGAGCGCCGGCAATGACACCGGTATTATAGCCACTCAGGAATCCGCCAATGGCCGCAAAGAATGTCAAGACACGCATGCGATGCGACACGCTCAATTGACGACTCAGCAATGCTTGGGCTGCCGCAGAACAAGCGGCGTCTTCTTGGTCTTCCGCCACAGTAGTGGAAATGATGGAAGTTGTTGTCATCATGGTTGGACTGTTGGTTCTGGTAGAGCTTGTCGTACTTGTGGAAGTAGTACTGCAAGACACCAAAAAGGGACGCTCTTCGTCCAACAGACTGCCTTCACTGCCGGTATCGCTCAGACTTGCGCTCATACTGGCGCTCATCTTGAATTGCAATAGAATGCTTTCTTTTGCGGAACTTGATATCTTTCACTTAGGATTTCAATGGAGAAGATCACTTGAAAGACTGATCTGATCAGCAATGGAAAGAGAGAGAGAGAGAGAGAGCTGTGTTGTGTTAGCATACAAGCAAGTGCCAATGAGGTGTTTTGGTTTTGTGTTATGACCACTGACCAAGTAAGTTGTAAGTCTGGTTTGATGGGTGGTTGATGGGTGTGTTCTTGGATTGAATTGAATTCCATCGATGCAGCCATCACTCACGCAACAATTGATGGCCTGGCAAGCAATGCGATGAACAGAGCGTGAAACCAGATTGGATTCCTTCTTCCCTGATGATGGCAGCGTGTCCGTGTCTTTGGCTGGCTTCTGCAAGCTGTTCAGGCAAGACGACGAAACCCGTCTCCGACCTCGGAATCGCGCAAGTCTGCATGACCGCAAGATCTACGTACAATCCTTACCAATTCTACACAAAGATACCCAGAGAGATATTTTTAGTTTTCCCTGCTTCTGGAAAGCAGAACGGCAGAAAGGGTTCTCCACCCTTTCTCATACTTGTGGTACAACAATGAGGATCCCAAATTCCCTATTCCACGCTACGGAAGCACACAATAATTAAAATACTCCCCTCAGAATCCAGGCTTTCTGTTCCTCGTTGACAAGGACTTATGTAACTTACGGTCTTTCAAGATCTGAGACAAGCTAGGCCTTAAAGCTCTTTTTGATATTACTTGCGAAGCCTCTTCATTGTTAATGAAAGTACCCTTCTGTCTTCTGGTATCTTGCAGCTGTCATGATGACATTGTATGATTGTCAAAGGTATCTTCACCATCGATGAACAATAAGTAAATCACTCCCTCAGAATCAATGCTTTCTGTTCCTCGTAAACCAGACTTAAAACAAAACAGTACTATTCAGCCTATTCCATTAAATATCATACGGCCTTTCAAGATCTACGACAACCCAGGACTTAAAACCCATTTTGATCTGCTAAAGTTTCTTGAGAACGCTTAATGCTTATTGAAAATACCCCTTCTGCCTTCTTGTATCTTTTGGCTGTCGTGGTGATTGTTAAAAGTATCTTCACCATCAATGATCAATGACCTTTAGAACACACACAGCCATGACCCAAGTTCTTTTCAGCTGATACCGTAAAAGGTACACCGGTACAAACCACACTTCCACATTCCAAATTCCAACATCGCCACTTCGATGCATTGCTGAGTCGAGTCAAGTCGAGTCGAGTCCAGTCAAGCTACCGGCTAGATAGCTACTGTACCGTACTGTAGTAGAGTACACAGCCGAGATTATGACAATCAAAAAGCTCAAAGTGGCGAAAGAGCTGTACCTACTGTACCGGTATGACCATATAATAGGTTGTATTCGAGTCGAGTGAAAGTCGTATCAACATGCAGCGAAAATTGGAGGCATGCTCAACGAATGATGATTGGACTGCCTGTCGTGCAACCACAGCCAACATCCTTGTGTTCTGCATGGCTGCGATTAGAACGACTTGTTTCTTGCTTGCATGGCCGACCCAGACCAAAGGTAGTAGCTAGGGTGCAATCTTGTCAAGTAAGTTGTGATCAGTCAAGTCAGCCATTGAGTTATGATTTTACGGCCGGCTACCGATACATGTCAACAACAGCAATACGGTACTACCCCAGACCAGCTACCGTCGTAGCCAGAGAAGGCAGGAGGAGCGTTTCAGCCAGTCAGCCAGCCACAAGCCAATCATACGATCCGTCTGATGATGCCTGGTTGGAATGCATAATATTATGTCGCTGCAGCATGCAGCCCTATAATACATCGTACCGGTACGTCTATTGGTTGCCTTGTTTGGCTGCAGAGTTGCATGCATCCGATTGGACTGATCGAATTTTCCATTCGAATATCCGCTCTGATAGCTTATTACCTGCTTTCGGCGTCGGTTTCCCCGTTTTGATCGGGCGACCGCCAAGCGCAGCCAACCAAGGAGAGCAAAACGACCAAAGCTGTTGGGTATGTTGTGGATGTTGATGCCATGGTAGTACACGTCGAACCTGACTCCAGTGCATCTACATGCAATAGTACCGGTACTAGTAGTAGCACAATTCTGGAATTGGCATTAAAGGGCTCCTTGTCAGAACTGCAAGAACGATTCTCTCGAACCGAGCTATCGAATGCCAACGATGGACACGATGGCACGGCATTACACTATGCCGCTGGTGGAGGGCATTTGGCGACCGTTCGCTATTTGATGGAAACCGTTGGTTTGGATGCACTTGCCGTGTGCCAACGAAATGGTCGAACGGCACTTCATTGGGCCGCTCGGAATGGCCACAATACTGTCTGCCACTATCTGGTCGTTCCAGCTGGCATACACGTCGACGTACTGGCCAAAGGAGAAGTGACACCTCTGCAGTTGGCCATTTGGCAGTGTCATTTGGAGACGGCACAATTATTGGAGAGATTGGGAGCCAATGTGCACTACGTCAATCAGTGGGGATGTGGATTGGCTCATTGGTTGGCCAAATACCCTCTTTTAAGAAATACACAACCATCACAACCATCACAAAGAGAAGAAGAGGAGCAGAGAATACGGGAGACCTGCCAATGGCTGTTTGAAACTCATCAAGTTGCTTGTGATGGTCCCAACAATCATGGACAAACTCCTCTGCACAAGGCTGCCTATGCGGGAATTCTGCCAGTGGTACAATACCTGGTCATCCAAAAGCGGCAAATGGACAACCAACGTGACCATCAAGGAAATTCGGCAGCCGATTGTGCGGAACGGACACAATCCCATACGACGGCCAAATGGTTGCGACGATACGCCTCCCCCATTCTATTCCAATCACTCGAAACGTTGGGATTACAACTGCAGCAACTACAGCATTCACCAGAACAGCCACCACTGCCACCCGACACCAAGACGATTCGGACAACCTTTTTGAGACTGGCCACGCAATTCCATCCAGACCATCATCATCCGCCATACCACAGCAGTGGGGAAATCTACCATGAAAAATGGAGCTCTATACAACAAGCGTACACACTGCTCATGTGTTGGTGGGACAATCCAGAGAGTTGGGATGTCCAAATTCAATTCCTGTCCAGGAATCAGGCACTCCAGGAATGGCCCCGCGTTAAGTGGACCGAGGAATGGCACCAGCAACAACGACAACATGCTATCCAACAACAAAGACAACAGCAAACCTCCACAATTCACACTCATGATAATGACGACGGTGGTGATCTACTACATGTACTACAAGACTTTGAAACCAAATTGCTGCGACTGTTACTACACACGCCGCAACAACAAGTGGCGTTGGCACAATTGCCACATGAATATGCCAAAAATTGGCATCAACCGTTGCCCAAACCCAAACACTATGGATGTCGAAAGCTCATTCATTTGTTGCAGAGACATTGTCCCCATGTACAGGTGGAATTTGTGGATCATACAAAGCATGCCATTGTCAAGCCAGCAACAGTAAGTTAATCAGGTAGACAAGTTATCGTTGCCAGTCGTATTCCAAGATAATTATCTAGCCTAGACTGTAGGTACCATGTTTAGAAATGAAACGCTCCTTTAGAAGATCTCCGAGTGACGGCGAGTCATGCTCCTGTAATGGATGGACTCTACCGTACCGGTACCGGTATGGTTGCTTCTGCGGCGCTGTGGTCTCCAACAATCAAGGCTTCCGGGTCAATCTGTTCCAAAGCAGCTTTGAGGGCTTACTACAAAAAGATACAGATCTTCTGCATGCGAAAACCGCAACAGCCATCTCGTTCAAAGAAGGGAGGCCAAGGAGGATTGCAAGATCATGTCCTCTGAAAAGCATTCCAAGAGACGAAAGAAAGAACGGAAGGATTGTGCATCTTCTGAAAATGGATCAGAGAGAGAGGGCACATGGGAAACTGATGAGTCCGTTACAATCTCTCGTGCAAAGCAGGAATATCGAGATTCCTGGGTTGGACTTATCCAACGTTACGGAACAGTGAAGCTTCCCAAAAAACCATGGATGAATACATGCTGCATGAAATTGAACAGTAATCAGGCACAAGTAGGTGCTTTTGGAGGTGCCTACCCTGTTCCTACAGTCATGATGTGTGGTACCAACATCCCGCACAAACAAAAAATCAGAGATGTAGTTGACTCTATATGCCGAACCCCAAACTGTATCATTCCTGATCATCATCGGTGGATGCCCAAACAAGAAAAATTGACCAGGCAATCCTGTGGAGCAAGCGTCATGTGCCCAACATGTCACCTTGAGATACCATTTCCCTGTTCTCATGACCCTGCATGTCAATGGAGTGTTAGTTCCATAGGTGGCTGCACAGGTTGCCAGCAGGGTGGCAGCCAATTAAAAGCTGAGCAAGAGACTGCTGCAACATTTGAATCAATTCAGCCAACAAGAAAAAGAACCACCACAGTAGTGAGCCATTCCCAGCCTACCCAGAGACACAAAAAGCTGAAAAAAGAAAAGAATCGCATGCATACCCCATCCCAATTGGCAGACAAGAACTTCCACAAAAGCTGGGTAAGGGTTATCCAAGATCATGGAACAACAAAGCTCCCAAAGAAACCATGGATGAAGACTTGCTGTTCGAAATTGAACAGTAATTTGAAAAATGTTGGAGTCCACGGAGGAGGCCGCGGAGGTAGCTACCCTCTACCCACTGTCATGATGCGCGGTACAAACATGCAACCTAAAGACAAGCCATTTGATACAGTAGATTCAATTTGCCGCACACGGGACTGTATCGTTCCCAATCATCATCGCTGGATGCCCAAGGAGGAAAAATGGTCCAGGCAGTCCTGTGGGTCGGGCCTAATGTGCCCTACATGTCATGTCGAAATCCCTCTGCCCTGCTCTCATTACCCCCCTTGTGAATGGAGAATTGTTTCCAAAGAGAACTGTTCTGCCTGTAAGAGCCACGAGTGAAGGTGCTGTGGTCGTGTGATTGCACAAAGAAGGCATGCACGGCAAGTGCACCTGCAAAACTATATCATGCAAGTCAGCTAGACTCTTCCATGTATTGCATTGCTGAGCTATGAACAGATAGATAGACCTGCCAAATTGGATCACTTTTGTGCCTTGCTTTCAATCCCAATGCACCTCTTGTACTTCGTCCACATTCACTCCCAGGATACGCAGGCATGTTGTGAACAATGCAACAATCTGTCACGTCCCTGTCAGAGCTCGCCCTGCCGTCCTTGTTGAAGTTTGCGGTCGATCAAAGAGTTCTCCAATCCTGCCTCTCAGCGCCGTGGGTGCACCATTCGAGGATGGCGTTCGTCTAGGCTGTCATCTCCCCAAGCCAACAAGCTTCCTCTTACCGAGGATACCGTTGCAATGAGACGA